TCAGTTGCCAGTTTGCAATTGTATGACTTGTATCCACTGCATGAGATGGATTGGCAACATCTCGCTCGGCAGGCTTAAACTATTTTTTCCAAAATACTTATGTTGTCTAATGATCTACTACTACAAAACCATAAGGAAATGATAAAAATAGAAAAAAAAATGGGCAAAGTCATTATCAGAAATAGAATAAGAAAAGAAACCTGTCTGTGTAACAGGCAAGCTTAGTAAATGCCCTCTTGCTGACTCCCCAGGATGGGAAGATAAGCAGATTAGAAATCTGATGGGCTAATGTGAAGTTCGTGATATATTGCATAGTTTTTTTCTGGTTAAAAGCACAAATCAGCCAGGCGCGGTGGCCTCATGGCCTTGAATCCTAGCACTCTGGAGGCCGAGGCGGCGGATGCTCGAGCGTCAGGAGTTCGAACCAGCCTGAGCAAGAGCGAGACCCGTCTGCTACTATAAAATAGAAGAAATTAATTGGCCAACTGAGTATTATATACCAAAAATTAGCCGGTCATCGGGGTGAGGAATGCCTGTCAGTCCAGTCCTCTACTCGGAGGCTGGAGGCAGAGGATTGCTTGAGCAGGATTGGAGGTTGCTATGGCGTGCTGGACGCCATGACTCACTTCTAGCCGGGGCAACAAACAGCACTCTGTCTCAAAAAAAAAAAAAGCACAAATCACAGGAGCATTGAGTAAATGTACTACCTCATTAGGGAATAAATAATGCAAAGGGGAGAGAGATTAGGAGGAGGGAAGGAAGGGCACACACCAAAATGGTTAAGGGAGTTATCTTATGGGTGGTAGGATGCAGGGGACAGGGGTGCTGGGAGAATGGGAGTGTAGATTTTCACATTTTATCCTATATACATATATGCTGCTTCTTCTTTTTTTTTTTTTAAGTGAGAATATATCCATGAATGACACATGTTTAAAAGAAAGGCGGGGCATGGTGGCCCAGGCCTATAATCCTAGGCGGGAGGATTGCTTGAGCTCAGGAGTTCCAGACCAACTTGAGCAAGAATGAGATCCCATCTGTATGAAAAATAGAATAATTAGCCAGGTGTAGTGGTGCACAACTGCACAGTCCTAGCTACTCAAGAGGCTGAGGCAGGAGGATCACTTGAGCCCAGGAGTTTGAGGTTGCAGTGAGCTATGAAGATGCCACTACAACTCTACCCAGGGTGACAGAGTGTGTCTCTGACTCAAAAAAAATAAATAAATAAAAAACTATTTTAAATTTATAAATAAAATAAAAAATAATTTTAAAAAATAAAAGCAAGCATTATTCCCTCATGACTAGGTTCTTATTAAATGCTTTTATCAAGAATGTTGGGCTTTCTGCAGACTGACAAAAAGAAAAGAGAAAAGAAAAAAATAATTTAAAAAAAATGAGGAAAAAAAAGACTGCTAGATACGTGATATTGTCTATTATACAATACCAGGAGTCATATAATTTCAGGTTTTTCCACTCTTGGTGATATGTTCACTTGGTTAAGGTGCTGACCACCACATCACTCTATCATAAGTGACAGTTTGTCCTTTGTAATCAGCAGGTTGGTATCTTGGCACTTTTTAAATATTTATCCTTTCATTTAACTTTTATTTATTCTGTATATGTTTATAATATATATTTGATTCTTATTTTTACATATATAAAATATTATATACATATATATATATTTTTTTTTTTTTTGAGACAGGGTCTCGCTCTGTTGCCCAGGCTAGAGTGGCATGGAGTCAGCCTGGCTCACAGCAACCTCAAACTCCTGGGCTCAAGCAATCCTTCTGCCTCTGCCCCCCGAGTAGCTGGTACTACAGGCATGCACCACCATGCCCAGCTAGTTTTTCTATATATTTTTAGTTGTCCAGTGAATTTCTTCCTATTTTTAGTAGAGACGGTGTCTCGCTCTTGCTCAGGCTGGCCTCAAACTCCTGAAATCAAACAATCCTCCCACCTCGGCCTCCCAGAGTGCTAGGATTACAAAATATTGTAATTGTTAACTGCTTCCTTAATTTGTATATTCTCCCAGTTTTTGAAAATACTTAATATATATTGGTGTGTTTAAGTTTTATTCATTGACTGTTTGGCCATTGTTTCTCCAGTTTGAGCATATGTTGAATGACTTAATTTTCTCTTGATGTAGCAAATTAAAGTATTTGAGTTCCTAACAAAAAAATAAATAAAAAGAAAAGAAAGCTGTTAGGTACCTTATGTTCAGTTTCAAATCTGTGGATGACTTTGAATCTTTACCTTTCACTGTCCTGGTTCTTCAGCAACAATTTTACTTATTCAGTTTCTAGTTTCAGTTCAGTTCAGTTTCCTCATTCAGTTTGCCACTAGGGGGCAGAAATCAGTCAAAACACACACTTGTCTCTTCATCTGCCTACTGCACATTTCCATTCAACCAGAAGGTTCTGGTTGCTTAATGCTCACCATTAAAAAATTGTAAAATGTCCAAACTAAACTCCCTCCCCCTCAAACTGACTCTCTTCCCTTACTGCTGCACGTCCACTTGTCACACCACCATCATTCTCTTCATCATCCAGGACAGAAACCTTGGAGTCACATTTGATTTCTCCCTTCCCTGTACACACCATCACCCGACTCCCTAGTCGGTCACTGAATCCTGTCTGTTCTGTTTGTCATGTTGCCAGGACTTTCTTCCCACTCCTGTCACAGCCACTCAGATTTAGCCCCTTCTCACTTTACTCCTAGATTTTGCTAGAGCTTTCTATTTGGTCCCCCCGAGGTAAGCTTTCCTCTCTAGAGCGCTCTACATGTGGATTCTAAAATAATCCTCCTGTCTTAATCATTTCTCTCTCTTGTTTGAGAAACTTCAATGGCTCTCCATACCTCATCGCATAACTTTCAAACTCCCATATCTGATATTCGAGGTTTTTCATAATCATGTCTTTCATTGCTTCCTAACCCAATTCTTTGCAACTAGACTGGTCTAGTAAATCCCCATCGTTTCTGCAGCCATGTCTTTGCCTAGGCTTTACTCACTATTTTTCTTTCTATTTAACAAATTCCAGCCACTCTTTAAGCCTCAGGTAAAGTTTCAGCTTATGCAGGGAGCTTTCCACTGACCTCCACACCTCAGTGGTTATAGATTCTGGTGAATTACGGCGCCTCTGGTCTGCATCTCTTGTAGTACTTAATTATAAATCATCTTCCTTTTTATGCCTATTCCCTTTCTTCCCACCTATCATTTTCATGTTCTAGAGACAATGTCATACTTTGCCCTCGGTTGGGCACAAAATGACTGCTACATATAGAAAGCCAGGTACAAAGATGAGTTCTGGACATAACTAAGGAACTGAATAATAATAATACCAGCTAACATTCGTATGTGTGCCAGGCACGGATATACCCTTTACATGTACTCACACACCTAAATCTCACAACAATCCTATGAAATGGTAACTATCATAATTCCCATTTTAAAGATGAGGAAATTGAGTCATAGAGCAGAATAACTTGCCCAAGGTCACAAAGCTAACAAATGACAGGCGGAGGTTCAAACCCAGGCAGTCTGGCTCTAGAACTAATGACTTTGTTGTGTCATCACTAATGAGACGAGGAGGGGGACATGCCGCTGTGAAGAGAGTGGAGCAAACGCAGGGGGCAGAGGTTAGGGAGGATATGATGGGGCTAAATAAAACTGGTTAAGGAAAATGTAAGAGTAACACAAGTAAAGTTTAGAGAAGGGGCACAATAGTAAGAAGGAGAATGAGGATAAGGAAAAGTTGACAAGTAAAAGAAGAAAGTCAGTCAATGAAGAAGGCCCAGGAAGGTCTTAAGGAAAATGCTGCCACATGAGGCAGGGTGCAGAGAACACAGGAGGAGAGGTGATGCTTACAAGACAGTGAAGGTGCCATTATAGACATCAGGCTTCTGCACAGGCACTTGGCGGAGCCTCTGCTTTGGGCTGAGACCAACACATGACATTGTCTCATCTTTGCAGGTACAGAGCTCACATATGTTGGTGGTACTCTGTTCTGAGATGTTATTTACAGTAAAATTCATCACAGAAGGTCGAGCTCTAACTTGAGGCAGGTTTGGAGGCAGAGTCTGAACCTGGTCTGGAAGTGGAGCTACAGCCTTCTCCAGGGTGACAGGATGTTCAGCCTGCGTGGTGGATACTGAAATCGTGGTAAACTCCAGGTGCGAATGTTGAACTGTGACACTGGGTGACACTGGATGGAGAGCTTGAGCTTGACTTGGTGTTGGAACTGATATATCATAATACACAGGAGCTATAATGTCCTTAGGCAGCTCTTGAGGCTGAGTTGGGGTCTCCTGCATGGTTGGAGAAGGTTTAAACTCTGTAGTGGGTTCTGAAGTTACAGTAAATTCCTGGTTCAAGGGTTTAACTGTGACTTCATTCAAGTTTGGCTGCCGGGTCTGAATCTGGTCTGGATGTGGAAGTGTCATCTCAGGATGCTTTGAAGAAGGAGCTGCAGAATGTTCAACCTCTGTAGTGGACACTGGAGTTATGGTAAGCCCCAGGTCCAAAGGTTGAACTGTGACAATAGGTGACATCAGATGCTGTGTTTGATTCTGACCTGGTGTTGGAACTAGTATCTTATAATTCACAGGAGGTTGAGCTACAGCCTCCGTAGGTAGCTCTGGAGGCTGAGTTGGGGTCATCTGCATGGCTGGAGAAGATTCAACCTGTATATTAGATCCTGAGGTTAAGGTAAATCCCAGATCAAAAGGTTGAAGTATAACTTCTGTCACGTTTATATGCTGAGCTTGAACCTGGTCCAGATGTGGAAATATCACCTTACGGTGCTTTGGAGGAGCTGTAGTCTTCATCAGGGCTATAGAAGGTTCAGCCTTCATAGTGGGTTCAGGAGTTATGGTAAGTGCTAGCTCCAAAGGCTGAACTGTGACACTGGGCGATGCTGGATGCTGAGCTTGATCCTGACCTAGTGTTGGAAGTGTCACCTCTTGAAATACTGGACGTCGAACTACACCTTCCTCAGGTGGCTTTGGAGGTTGAGTTGGGATCTCCTGCATGACTGGAGAAAGTCCAACATCTATAGTGGGTTCTTCAGTAATGGAAAGCTCCAGGTCCACAGGTTGAAGAGTGCCTTCAATCAAGTTTGGATGCTGAGCCCGAACCTGGTCCAGATGTGGAAATGCCACCTCAGGGGGCTTTGGAGGAGCTGTAGAATGTTCAGCCTGTATACTGGGTTCTGGAGTTATGGTAAGCCCCAGGTTTAAAGGTTGAAATGTGACACTGGGTGACGTTGGATACTGTGCTTGATCCTGACCTAGTGTTGGAACTGTCATCTCCTGAGATATTCGGGGTTGAGCTACAACAACTTCCTTAGGTGGCTCTGGAGGTTGAGTTGGGGTCTCCTGCATGGCTGGAGAAAGTTCAACCTCTGTAGTGGGTTCTGGAGTTATGGTAAGCTGCATGTTCAAAGGTTGAAGTGTGACAGTGGGCAATGTTGGATACTGGGCTTGATCCTGACCTGGTGATGGAACTGTCATCTCATAATTCACTGAAGGCTGAGCTACAACCTCCCTAGGGGGCTCTGAAGGCTGAGCTGGAAACTCCTGCTGAGGTGGAGAAGGTCTGACCTCTTCAGCGGACTTTGGAGGACGGCCCAAGGCTTCCCACTGGGTCCCAGATGGTTCAACCTCCTTAGGGGACGCTGTTAGCTCAGCTGGGGTCTGCTGTTGGACTGGATAACGTATCAATTCCTTAGAGTGATCTGGAGGCTGAGCTGTGGCCTCTTGCTGGGCTACAGAAGTTACAAACATATAGGAGGGATCCTGAAGTGGGGAAAAGGGATCAGACTGGGGTGCAGAAAATTCAGACTGTTCAGTGGAAACTGTAGACTGAGAAGTGCCCTCCCACTGGCCCGAGTAAGGCTCAGCATTTTTAGTGGGCTCTGCTGTAGTGATAGTAATCTCCAAATCCACATATTTAACTGTAGTTTTAGGCAATGTTGAATGACCTCTGAAAATCATAGACAGATCTAGAGGTGAAAATGTCATTGTATCACTAATTGGAGCAAAAACTGGATAGGATGCTGAAGGCTGAGTTGTGTGCTGCTGCTGGCCTGGTAAAGGTCCAACACCCACAGTGGGCTCTTGAGGTAATGCTGAGGTTTCTTTCCCGCTTTGATATGGTTCTTCAGGAAGCTCTTCAGGCTGAGTTGGGACCCCTTGATAAACTGGAGAATGTTCATCCTTTTCAGGGAAGTTCGGCTGGTGAATTATAACCTCTGCTTGGCCTTTCAAAGGTTTAAACTGCTGAGGGGACACTGAAGACTGAGCTGGGGCCTCCTGTTGGGTTGGAATTTCAACTTCATTAGTGAACTCAGGAGTTGTGGTAACCGCATGATCCACAGGTTTTATGGCGACATTGTGTAACATTAGAGGCTGAACTTGAGAAACTGTTACCTCATGATGCTCTGGAGGTTGAGCTACAACTTCATTAGGGAGCTCCGAAGGCTGAGTTGGGGCCTCCTGCTGGGTTGAAGAAGGTTCCACATCATTGACTTGCCCTGAGAGCTGAGGTGTAGTCTCTTGGTGGACTGGAGAAGTTCCCACCTGTGTAGTAGGCTCTCCTGCTGTGGTGAACTGCTGACCTGGAGATGTAACCACATTGGGCAAGTCTGAATGCTGAGTTTGATAGTTATCTGGAGGTGAAACTGTTACTTCATGATGCCCTAGAGACTGAGCTTGTTGCTCCTGCTGGATTGGAGGAGGTTCCACCTCATGATGTTCTGAAGGCTGAGCTGGAGACTCCAGCTGGGGTGCAGAAGATTCAGTCTCCTTGGTGGGCTCTGAAGTTATGGTAACCTCCACATCCGGAGGTTTAACTGTAACATGGGGCAAGTTATAACGATGAGGTTGAAGTGTCACCTCATGCTTTGGTGGAATTTGAGCTAGACTCTCCACAGGGGACTCTGAAGCTTGAGCTATGGCCTCCTCCTGGCTCTGAGAAGGTTCACTCTCCTCAGGAGACTCAGAAGGCTGAGCTGGCTGCTCCTGTTCACTGGGGGAAGGTTCAGCCTCCACTGGAAAGCCTGGTGACTCAGCTGAGATCTCCTCCTGGGTGGCAGAAGGTTCAACCTCCTCAATATGTTCTAGAGGCTCAGTTGGGGCCTCTGGCTGGGCTAGAGAAGATTCAGTCTCCTTGGTAGGCTCTGAAGTTATGGTAACCTCCACATCCGGAGGTTTAACTGTAACAGGGGGCAAGTTATAACGATGAGGTTGAACTGCCACCACCTGATTTAGTGGAGTTTGAGCTGTACTCTCCACAGGGGACTCTGGAGCTTGAGCTATGGCCTCCTGCTGGGTCTGAGAAGATTCACCCTCCTCAGGAGACTCAGAAGGCTGAGCTGGCTGCTCCTGCTCACTGGCGAAAGGTTCAGCCTCCACAGGAAAGCCTGGAGACTCAGCTGAGATCTCCTCCTGGGTGGCAGAAGGTTCAACCTCCTCAATATGTTCTAGAGGCTCAGTTGGGGCCTCTGGCTGGGCTGGAGCAGATTCAGTCTCCTTGGTAGGCTCTGAAGTTATGGTAACCTCCACATCTGGAGGTTTAACTGTAACAGGGGGCAAGTTATAACTATCAGGTTGAACTGCCACCTCATGATTTTGTTGGGTTTGAGCTATACTCTCCACAGGGGACTCTGGAGCTTGAGCTATGGCCTCCTCCTGGCTCTCTCCTCAGGAGACTCAGAAGGCTGAGCTGGCTGCTCCTGCTCACTGGCGAAAGGTTCAGCCTCCATAGGAAAGCCTGGAGACTCAGCTGGGGTCTCCTCCTGGGTGACAGAAGGTTCCACCTCCTCAAGATCCTTTGGAGGCTCAACTGGGGCCTGCTGCTGGGCTGGAAAAGGTTCAGTCTCCTTGGTAGGCTCTGAAGTTATGGTAACCTCCACATCCGGAGGTTTAACTGTAACAGGGGGCAAGTTATAATGATCAGGTTGAACTGTCACCTCGTGATTTTGTGAAATTTGAGGTATACTCTCCACAGGGGACTCTGGAGCTTGATCTATGGCCTCCTGCTGGGTCTGAGAAGATTCACTCTCCTCAGGAGACTCAGAAGGCTGATCTGGCTGCTCTTGCTCACTGGCGAAAGGTTCAGCCTCCACAGGAAAGCCTGGAGACTCAGCTGGGGCCTCCTCTTGGGTGACAGAAGGTTCCACCTCCTCAAGATCCTTTGGAGGCTCAACTGGGGCCTGCTGCTCGGCTGGAAAAGGTTCAGTCTCCTTGGTAGGCTCTGAAGTTATGGTAACCTCTGTATCCGGAGGTTTAACTGTTATATAGGGCAAATTATAATGATAAGGTCGAATCGTCACCTCATGATTTGGTGGACTTTGAGCTAGACTGTCCATAGGGGACTCTGGAGTTTGAGCTGTGGCCTCCTGCTGGGTTTCAGAAGGTTCACTCTCTCCAGGAATTTCAGAAGGCTGAGCTGGCTGCTCCTGCTCACTGGGGAAAGGTTCAGTCTCCACAGGCAAGTCTGGAGACTCAGCTGGAGTCTCCTCCTGGGCGGCAGAAGGTTCATCCTCCTCAGGGAGCTCTGGTCTTTGAACTGGGCCTTGTTGTTGGGTTGAGGGAGGTTCAACCTCCTGAGGAGCTGGGGCCTCTTGTTGGGTTGAGGAAGGTTCTACCTCCTGAGGAGCTGGGGCCTCTTGTTGGGTTGAGGAAGGTTCTACCTCGTCATGGTGCTCTGGAGGCTGAGCTGGGGCCTGCTGCTGACTTGGAGTAGGTTCAATGTTGTTACCTGGCTCTGGAGTTATGGTAACCTCCAGATCCACATGTTTAACTGTGACTTTGGACAAGACTGAGTGGTGACCTTCAGTCCAACTTGGAGATGGAACATTTACTTCACGATGTATTGATGGCTGAGCTACAACCTCTTCAGTATCAGGTAGCTGCTGAGCTGGGGCCTCCTGCTGGTTTGAAGAAAGTTCTGCCTCCTCAGCGGATTGTTCTGGGGCTTCTTGGAGTGAAGAAGATTGGATTTCCTCAGTGGTTTCTGGATTTTGAGTTTCATCCTCTAGATGGAATTGAGAAAGTTCAGGTGGCCCTGCAGGCTCATCTAAGTTCTCTGGAAGTTCCAGAGGTAGGCCGCCAGGATAAACTATATCCATACTTGGATCTAGATAATCATCATCCTGTAGAGTTTGTTTTTGATGTTGAGGTTTTGATGCAAATTGATTTGAAGTTCCAACAGCCACCCTAGCAAGCCGTCGATGCTGAGCTAGATATTTCTTCAGGATCTTTGGTGAAATAATAAACCTTGTTGGTTTTGAACTCCGACTATCTAGAGGTGGAACAAGTATTTCTGATGCCTGGTGATCTGCAGCCTGATCTAGACCTACAGCTTGAATCTTACTTCTGAGTTGAGGAGGCAGAGGTAGGACTTGAGTCTGATCCCAACCTGGCACTGGAACCTCCTCCGGGAGCCTTTGTCGTTGAGTCAGCTTGTCATTCAGATCCCGATGTGGAACAGCAAACTGATCTCGCCCTGGAAGCAGCTCTTGAGCTGACTGCGTGTCCAGGAATGGAGCCGAAGTCTCAGTCAACTCCTGAGGCGGGGCCAACATCTGGGAAGAAGCAGAGGACCCCAGGTAAGCAAAGCCCTCGGGGTCTGCGGAGGGTGTAAGCGCAGGGGGCGACTCGGGTGGGAGATCAGAGGAGCGGGAAGACCGGCGGTCGGTCGGTCCTCGGGGTTCGAAGGTGAGCGGGACGAGGTTCCAGGCCCACTCCGGAAGCGGAGCTGCCTGGACCAGCAGCCACAACGACTGCCACGTGAGAAGGACCCGTGGGGTCCAGAGGCGCAGCAGGGACATGACGTGCGGAGGCTCCAGCGCGAGCCGGAGCCCAAACACTTGTGGCAGCCCTGCCGCGCGAGCACCCGTAGCAACCGCGCCCGCCCCGCCCTTCATCTATGACACCTTCATTTACGCAGCAGCCTTTATTTAGCTCTGGTCGTCACTGAGTGGTGCCTGCAGGGCTGTAAAGAATGACGTCCATTCTCCCAGCCAGACATACGAGGCTTTCCTGGCCTGCCGCTTCTCCCTGAAAGGAAATCTGCCACCTCCCTTAACCCACCACGCCTGCCCGGGGCTGGCCAGCAACGCAGAATGTCCACTCTCGGAGGCCACGGGAGGCTGGACCTCACTGGGCCCCAGTCCTACCTGGCAGGACCTCTCAAGTTAATCACAGTGGGTCCCCTCCTGTCCTGGCCTGAGGGGGCACTCTTCCATCTCTGCTTCTCTAGTCCTAAACAGACAAAGGACCCTTCCCTTTGGCACTGCTGGGCTGAAGTCTTGCAAAAGGACTGCTCTAGAGCTCTGGAGACAAAAGGGTCACAGGCCCAATGTGCTGGCCTGCTCTCGAGGCAATTTTTCTATTTTCTGTAGAGATGAGGTCTCACTATGTGACTCAGGCTGGTCTTGAACTCCTGGCCTCGGGCAATCCTCCTGCTTTGGCCTCCAAAAGTGCTGGGATTATAGGTGTGAGCCACCTTGCCCAGCTGGGTGATTACTGTTTTGTTTTTTCTTGAGAATTGGAGTAAAGAATAATTCTCCCAAATTATCAGCACAAAACAGAGTATTGATTTTTAACTGATGTTTCTACTGGAGTTTAATGGTAATTAAATGACTATAATGAGGGAAATACAATTCTAATAAAATTTCCTATATTCTAGAAACATCCTAGTTTAATTTTTTTACCTAAATATTTTTACCTAAGGAAAAAAATGTGCTGAGTCACAATGCATTTTAATAACATTATGTACATATTAGGTGCATCGTGTTCTGAATGATAGCAATTCCTTTGTATGTTAAAGTGATCCTTGTGAATTTGTGAAATGTCATAAAATGCTTTTTCTTCTTGTAATTTTTGTTGTATCAACTGTCATCATGCTCTTTTTATACAAACATTTATGTGCCATCACATATGCATGCTTTTAAAAAATTTATTTGTGAAATGAATGAGTTCATGGGTACAGTTTGGGTCTGGTAGACAAGGGAGAAGTATCAGTGGTTTCTGGCAGGGTTGAAGCCTTGTCCTGCTTTTGTTTCACCTTGGCCCTCAGCTCCAGTGACCAGAAATGACCTCCAGGGCACAGACCCCTCAGGCTGTTCATTCACTTGCCAGCATTCACTTTTCCAGAGTGCTGGTCACTGTTCAGGGCTCCTCTAACTCTAGCCTGGAGCCCTAATGATGACCAGTAGCCCAAACTCCTCCTGAAGATTGTTCAGTATTCTTGGGCACTGTGTTCTGCACACCAACCTGTCTAAAACTCTTCAGCCCAGGCCTTTCCTCCCACTTACCTGTCCTGTCACAGTGAAATCACAAGGGCTTGCTTGACCTCAAATTCCAAAGACACACACCTTTTAGGATGGCTATTATTAAACAAACACACATTAAAAAAAAATAGTTAAGAATTGGCAAGGATGTAGAAAAAATTGGAACTGTTGTGTACTTCTGGTGGGAATGTAAATTGTGCAGCTGCTGTGCAAAACAATAGGGTCGTTCCTCAAAAAACAGAAAATAGAGTTATTGTATGATCCAGCCGGGTGTCGTGGCACGAGCCTGTATCCCAGCCACTCGGGAGGCTGAATTAGGAGGATCACTTGAGCCCAGGAGTTTGAGACCAGCCTGGGCAACATAGTGAGACCCCATCTCTTAAGAAAAAAGAAAAGTTTCTAAAATGGTTTGAATGGTAATTTTAATTTTATGTACATTTTAGCACAATAAAAAATGTAAATATACCTATTAGGTTTAGACACAATTAGCATTAGGTTGAAATGTATGGCCCAAAGTATGACAAAAGTTCTTAGATTCTTCCTCTTTCTCCAATTTTTGCTATGGAGAAACCATCTTCAGAGGAGTCTGCCTAAATCCCAATAATATTGTTCAATTCTTTGCTGTGGTCTGAACATTTACCTCAAAGATGTTCTGAGATTCTAAAACTGGAAAACATATCTCAGAGCATCTTAGATCTTACTTAAGAACCATCACAACTTTCATATCATATAGAGATTTGGTGGCATACACATTTCTATAATACCATCCACCTTCTTTGTAAAATGGTCCTTCTACAAATATTCCTTTGACAAAGCACTTACTATACCCCACTCAAGCAATGCCTGCATCACCAACTGTTAACTTTCCATGACAAATCCATAATGGGTAACATCTTCCCTTTTGAATAGGGGCAGGCATCCCTTCCTACCCATTATATAATTAGAATTGTTCATTGTATACTTATACATCTGATTCTGTTCTAGGAATTGAATGTGAGAGGCCATATCTTCCCCCAGTCTTCACAGCTAGGCAGCCAGCAGCATAAACATGACAAATAGCCAGGTGTGGTGGCTCATGGCTGTGATCCTAGCACTTTGTGAGGCTGAGGCAGGAGGACTGCTTGAGCTCAGGAGTTCGAGACCAGCCTGAGCAAGAGTGAGACCCCTGTCTCTACTAAAAATTAGAAAGAAATTAATCGGTCAACTAAAACTATATAGAAAATATTAGCCAGGCATGGTGGCACATGCCTGTCGTCCCAGCTACCTGGGAGGCTGAGGCAGGAGGATTGCTTGAGCCCAGGAGTTTGAGGTGGCTGTGAGCTAGGCTGATGCCATGGCACTCTAGCCCGGGCAACAGAGTCAGATTCTATCTCAAAAATAAATAAATAAATAAACAAACAAACAAACATGACAAACAATCCAGATGGAACATCCACAGCACACAGTAAAATGTACAGGGTCAAAGTTGCCTTTGAAGACCAGCTCTTAAATGTCTCTAACCAGTGGTGGATAGCCAGGCCCTGTCCTTGTTCATTGACCTTGATGGATGTGTATTGGAAGTGGAACACTTCAAACTGTTCCTAGTTCAGGCTAGGTTACAGAAGATTCCTGGTTCCCTAATTATAGTCAGTATCCTTTCCAGAAAGGAGTGTAATCTCCTTTAATAGTTTACCAAACTGGCCAGGCGAGGTGGCTCACCTCTGTAATCCTAGCACTCTGGGAAGCCAAGGTGGGTGGATTGCTCAAGGTCAGGAGTTCAAAACCACCCTGAGCAAGAGCGAGACCCCATCTCTACTATAAATAGAAAGAAATTAATTGGATAACTAATATATATAGAAAAAATTAGCCGGGCATGGTGGCGCATGCCTGTAGTCTCAGCTACTCAGGAGGCTGAGGCAGCAGGATTGCTTGAGCCCAGGAGTTTGAGGTTGCTGTGAGCTAGGCTGATGCCATGGCACTCACTCTAGCCTGGGCAACAAAGCGAGACTCTGTCTCAGAAAAAAAAAAAAAAAAAGCTTACCAAACTGAGTCAAATTTGGAGATGAATATGCAAGTGCAGTTCCAGCTTTCTCAACCATTAAGTCTTATTTTACCCTAACAGATCAAGTCCACATTCTATTTATTTCCATGGTTTGCAACATAAGTGTAATCTATTCAAACACGTATTATACTCCTTGTCTGGATCAGTCACTAGTGCTGGTGCTATGAATACAAAAATGTAAAGTCATTCATTCAATCAAACAGCACATTTCTGCTGAGTGCCTACTAAGTGCTAGGAAATGGGGATGCATAGGTAAATATGACAGACAGGAGCCCCCAGAGAAGCTTATGACATAGTGGAGGAGACTAGGTAGGTAAGCAAACAACAAAAAAAAATAATTACAAACTATGATAAAAAGAAAACAAATAGGTTTCTGAATTAACAGAATGATGGACAAGACTTGTTTTAGCTGAGGTAAAAAGGAAGGACTCATTAATGGTGGTGTCCTCATCATCTCTCATCTGGATGATGATAGCATTTTAAGGAATCTCTCTGTATGGGCCCCAGGACATTTGTATTTGCTGCTGAGAATGCTCTTATATGACCCTTTTCACTATTTTAAAAATTATTTTTTATTTAAAAATGCTATTTATGTTGTCAAAACAAAAAATTACAAATTTAGTTATAGTTCTGATTGGCAACCTCTATACTACAAAAATTAATAAGAGTTTCCATTGGGCAATGGCAGAACAGTGGGATTTGTAAAGTGGAAACAAGGAAATAGAATAGGAAAAAAAAGCTGATTGGTTAATGTCAGGATAATTCTTTTGTAAGGGTTAAATCCAAAGGGACTTTCTTACTTTTCCAACTCAGGTGGACTGTAATCTCCATTTTCAAGAAAAACAAGTCTGTTTTGGGTTTTACCTGATTCCTTAAAATTTCAGTTTGATTATGTGGCATTTAGCATGAGTGACTCTATTTTGGTTTGGTCTGGTTTGTTGGGGCCTAGCACAAGAGTTCAGTCCAAAACAATGGCCTCCATAATTTTTGTTAAACAATGTTAATATGAAATGAGTCTATTATTTAAAAATGAATTAAGTATCTATTTCTTATCAGTTTTAATTTCTAATACAATCAATATCTAGAGATATAACCCGTAAAAACAAAAGCTCTTTGCAGACCACAAGAATTTTTTTTTTTTTTAGAGAGACAGGGTCTCACTCTGTCACCCAGACTGGAGTGCAGTGGCACAGTCATTACTGCAGCCTCGAATTTCTGGGCTCAAGTGATCCTCCCACCTCCAGAGTAGCTGGGACTATAGGCATGCACCACCAGCTCTGGTCCTCAATAATTTTTAAGAATATAAAGGAGTCCTTAAACAATAAAGTTCTAGAACTCCTCTTTTAGTGGCTTTAAGCTGAAGAAGATGGAAAGTACAAGTTCAATATTATGACTAAGCTTTCACTGTTTATTCATTAGTTCCACAAATATTTATGGGACAGGCATTATGCCAGACACCAATGACAAAACCAGAGTTCCTTCAAAGAAATATAATGAGATATAATAATAACTAGGCCATCTCAGTACTGGATGACACGTTACAATAGCACTGTTACCCTGAAGTCAGACATTTAATTGTCTCAGGGAGTCAAGGAAGACTTCCTGGAGGAGAAGAAGTCTAGGATAAGATCGAAATACGGGAAGTATGTACCAAAAACAAGGTTCAGTAGAGGAGCTGATTTGCTGGAAGGAAAAGGAAGGTTTCACAGAGGCAGAGATGTCTGGGCTGAATTTCAATACAGACAGTATTGTGTACTGTCAGTATTGTGGCCCCTATGTTTTTTCTGCTAACATAGGGGCCACAAATTTCAAAGTCAAATTCTTTGGTCCCTTTGAAAAATTAAAGGTCTGGTAGCCTTGTAAGAATTTATTGTGGGCCCTCTGGGAGACCCAGACCAGAGGATCCCTTGAGCCCAGGAGTTTAATGCTGCAGTGAGCTATGCTACTGCACTCCAGGCTGGGTGACAGAGGGAGACCCTGTCTTTAAAAAAAAAAAAAAAATTTTTTTTTAAATTAATCTATTTGAATCCTTCACAATAGCTGCATATTCTCCTTTTTCCAGTGTTGTAACGAGGCAATGAGGAACAACACACGAGGCTATATGGTGGATGTTTAAGCTAAACCGATGGATTTTATAACACATGGTACATTTGTTTAGCAATTGTTAGATGTTTTCTCCCTAAGAATATACACAATTAAACTTTTTTTATTTTGAATTTTGTACATTACCTATTGAATCAGCCACGCTTATCTTAGAAACACAAATTTTTCCCAGAAATGAAGCCTTGCCAAAAAAACTGCCTCACCTTCATCAAGCTGTCAGTAGTTTGAATTTCCTGTAAACCAGGGAGAGACTTCTCTGCAGGGGCTAGGAGTGCAGGGGGGACAGAGACAACCCAGCAGGCCTCAAAGGCTGCAGAGACTGGAGCTCTCTGGCGGGTTCTGAGAAGCTGGAGGGGATTAAGCACTTCCATTCATGAACAGCACGTTACTGACAGCACATCTAAAGAGAGAAATATTTTTTCTTTGCCATATTGTTCCACGAGGCCGTGGTAGATATTCCTAGGGAGTTTCCTTAAAGTAAAAAAGAACCTAGTTTATTTATATTCGCTCACTTCCCAAGCCCATCCTTCTATCTCTCAAATCCATAAGCTTAACTGCGCGCCAAAGATACACGACACTGTTTCCGGGTCTGGCCCCTCCCATCCCCTCCAGCAGCACATCCTGGAGTCCGGGGAGGCGCGGTCTTGGGAGGCGGAGTCTAGACGCAAACTCAAGGCCCCGCCCTCTAACGGCGTTTTCAGTTCTCTGCGCTCCGCCAGCCAGAGATCGCAGGCTGTGAGAGCGGGTTTCTACTTTCGCTAGCGCCCGCCCCCTCTCGCATTCATTCTCGCGAGACAAGGCGCGAGGCCTGCCGAGAGCGATGCGTGGCCTTCCGTAGGTTCGCGCAAAATGGCAGCCCTGGAGGAAGTATTCATGTTGTCTTCTGTAGTTCTGGGCGCCGGGCCTGGTGGAGTCCTAGGCGTGGAGCACAGCTACAAAACAGACCAGTTTCTAGTGACCGACAGCAGCAGGGCCGTCATTCTTTATAAGGTGAGAACGATAGAATCGAAGCACATGGAGTCCAGTCTCGCCTCTTTCTGAGCGCGGAGCCCGAGCTCGGGTTTCTTACAGCTCCAGAAAGATACCGTGGGGCGAGCTTAGCAGAGAGCCAGCTTGGCCTGTCTGGGACGCTGAGTAAGGCCTAGAATCTGGCTTGATTGTTTTCCTGTAGGAGCATATTTCAAAGTTGCAAGCGACAGAGCGTCTAAGTGCACGTGGGCTAGACACGGAAAGGAAAGGGAACCGGTGCTTTTGCTTCAGAACTTGCAGAGATGACCTTTGCTAAGAGCCCCTCCTGGGGTCTCCGTTATTTTTGCTGTCCGCAGGGAGTGGAACGGAGATGGGTTGGGCAGGAGAGAATGATACACACTGACAGGGTGAGAATAGTGGCTTAGTTCTGTGTCTGTACACTTCATCCTTCTCTCCTTGGGAAAAAACATTTTGAGGGGGAAGGCTTTTTTGGTAGCTTGATAATAATCTTGATTCTGAGTGAGTTGTTTGTTGGCAACTCCGGTTCACGCTGTGAATCCTGGAGTTGAATCCGAGGGAAATCTGCACGCCCCGCCCCCTTTTCAGCCCAAGGCCTGACTCAACACACTTTCTAACCTTGCATCTGGTGGGTGCATGGAAAGCAATTATAATATTTTTATCTGAGCTGGTGAACATAGTTTTCTGTGTCTTTAAGAAGTTAGCTATCATCTTTGAAGTTTTGGGGAACAGGTTGCCAACAACCCCCTGGTACTGTTTGTTTTGGCTCTGCTTACTCTATTGGTCTTTATCTCAGCTGGGTTTGTGGTTTTGCAGTTCCTACGTAGGAAAACTGCTGATTGGGATTGAATAGACAGGATCCTAGTATTTAATTTCCCATGTCCCTGTTCATAGGCATAATGGAATCAATTTTTAAAATGTATGTTGTTTATTAACAAAGGCTTTTTAATTTACATATTTTTTATTTTAGGAACTTATTAAATATATTCTTATTTTAACTGCTGTTTAAAAGTTTTTAAATTTTAATTGTGGTAAAATACACATAAAATTTACCATCTTAACCATTTTTAAGTTTACATACAGTTCAGTGGTATCAAAATTCTGTACCCATGAAACAATAACTTCCCTTTGCCCCTGGCCTCTCACAACCACTGTTCTTTCTGTCTCTATCAATTTGACTACTGTAGGTACTTCATATTAGTGGAATCTTCAGTATTTGTCTGTTCTGACTACTTATTTTTTAATTTAGGAAATTTGTCAAATGCTGTCATTTGAATCATTTGTTTTGATTGTAAATGTATTAATAATTGCTTTTAATGCCTGAAATTGACTTCTTTAATATTGTATTTATTTATTTTTTGTTTTTGTTTTTTTTAATATTGTATTTATTTTATTTATTTATTTATTTTTATTTATTTATTTATTTTTTTGAGACAGAGTCTCGCTTTGTTGCCTAGGCTAGAGTGAGTGCCGTGGCGTCCGCCTAGCTCACGGCAACCTCAAACTCCTGGGCTCAAGCGATCCTCCTGCCTCAGCCTCCCAAGTAGCTGGGACTACAGGGATGTGCCACCGTGCCTGGCTAATTTTTTCTATATATATTAGTTGGCCAATTAATTTCTTTCTATTTATAGTAGAGACGGGGTCTTGCTCTTTCTCAGGCTGGTCTCGAACTCCTGACCTCGAGCAATCCGCCCGCCTCGGCCTCCCAGAGTGCTAGGATTACAGGCGTGAGCCACCGCGCCCGGCCTTAAATATTGTATTTATTTTAATTTCATTTGCTTTCTGATCAGAAAACCTTGGGGAGTTGGTCAGTGAAGCAAGGTCAAATTATAACATGTCCAGCTGTGTGCAGCTTTCATACTGGAGAGTATATTGTTGTACGTGATAATAAGGTGAGTTTTAAAACTTTTATAGAATAGCATATAGAATGCAAGTCAAATGTTGATTTATTAACTATTTGTGTTTGTTATATAAATGGAGAATGGCATACATTTTAACTTGTATGTTTTCATTTCAGGTTTTGAGAATGTGGAACAGTGAAGATGTAAACCTGGATAAAGTATTTAAAGCTATATAGTAAGTCTTTAGATTTTCCAGCATATTTATTTAGCTTATGATGAAATGGAATCATTCATAATAGAATATACATTATCTTAATGCCTCTGGAAAAGTGAGCATAAGGTTACAGTTTTTCATTCTAGTTAGTGAACTTCCTGTGCCCTTTCTCAGAATAGACCCTGCAAGTTTTGTGTATTATACATATTAAGAATAGCACATAATACCAATGACCTAAAGTATGTTAATTAACTTTTTCTTACTTATAAAATGAGGATCTCAAACTAGATTAATCCCAAAAGTTCCTTCCAATTCTAAATGTTTGATTCTAAATATGATTGGCACATTTTAGAAGTGTCTCATAATAGGGCTGATTCAAATATATTGCAGTTGTTGCCTGGATCCTTGAAACTTCTAGCTAACTAGCTGTACTTTCCCCTGGCTCCAGTCTTTTCTTTTACCTTGGGGTAGAACAATCCTGAACTTTACACAGCAGAGGTTGTTTTTGTTTGTTTGTTTTACCTCACATATATTGTTAACTTCTTTTCTTGGTATTGTAGGCTGTAGTTATAATTGTGGCATTAGTCCTTATCTAACACCAGAACTGCATGTACATTTGCATTAGTAACTTTATTTGTACCGTCTCCACCCCCAGTTGTGGGAGACCCAGCTTTTTGCCTAACCTCCAGTATTTGTAATGGATAATCTGAAAATGAATAAAAAAGGTTACCTATGGAGGACAGGTAGGGACAGGGTAGAGAGGGTAAGAATAGAAGTTAGACTTCTGAATGTATTTTGTGTTGTACCTTTGATTTTGGAACCATACATAGTTATAAAGCAATATTAAATCAAAATGAAAACAAATCAGTCCCTTAAATCACTTGGTATGGCGCTCACTGGCCGCAAAACCTTGCCTACAGCCAGCACTCATAGTCTGTAGGATAGTTTGTGCTGTGCATTGATAGCAAATCCGTTTTGCTCTTGTGTGATGAGGAAAGCTTTAAAGCACTGAAAGCTTGTTTTACGTTACACGCAGCTTTACTTGTCATGTAAATCAGAATAGGTAACATATACATATATGTTTTTATTACGTTATTTTTAAATGTTGACAATTTTAATTAGAAAAGTCATATCACGGCTGTCAGTTAAAGTCGAAGCTCGGTTCATCTGTGGCTGTCGACTGTAGTCAACGCTGGTACCAAAGTGGTTAAAAATAAGCCTTTTAGGCCGGGCTTAGTGGCTCATGGCTGTAATCCTAGCACTGTGGGAGGCAGAGGCAGGAGCATCACTTGAAGTCAGGAGTTTGAGACCAGCTTGAGCAAGAGTGAGACCCCCCCCCCAATCTCTACTAAAATAGAAAAAATTAGCCAGGTGTGGTGGCAGCACCTGTAGTCCCAGCTGCTCAGGAGGTTGAAGCAGGATTGCTTGAGCTCAGGAGTTTGAGGATCCAGTGAGCTATGATGATGCCACTGCACTCTAGCCAGGGGGACAGAGAGAGAGTCTGTTGGGGCGGGGGTTGGGGAGCCTTCTATAAATGTCCCTATTACATTAGGTAAAAATTGTTTTAGAATAAAAATTGAAATAGTCTTGCATTTTTCCAGTTGTCGGCTGAGGTATATAGGATACATTCAATACAAGGAACAGAACCCTTGGTACTATTCAAGGAAGGAGCTATTCGTGGTTTAGAGGCTTTGCTTGCAGAGCCCCAGCAGAAAATTGAAACTATTATTTCCGATGAAGAGGTGATTAAGTAAGTTTCGATGCTTATAAGTGAATTTATCAAAATAAAAATGTACTGCATGTTTTTAATTATATTTTTTGCCATGTTCAAAAGTATTTTTAGTTATAAACATTATAAAAGTAACCTGATTAAAAAACATTTATAAGACATTGACGAAAATAACATCTCAAAAGCCTCTGGAGTGATAGATGATTCAAAAAACCATAGTCTTATGAGTCTTATTCTAATGACAGAGAACTGGACAGTCAGTTATTTGAAAATGAAATGGGTTATCCCAAAAGACCAAATTCTTTGTGTTTCTGTCATGTTACCCTGACTGCCAAGCTTGCGATTTTTTCCCCCTGGCAAAAAGTGCAGCTTGTCATTAATGAAATCATGATAGTGCTTTAAGACCTCTGCTTTCCCAGATTCTGGAAAAAAAAACTGGGAAAATGACCTACCCAAATGATAGAAGGACATTTCATGATTTCAATTCTCTCTAATCATTATTTCATCATGTTTCGTGTCCATATGACTTGCTGCTTCTCCAGGTCCACTTGGTGGAAACTAAACTTCTAAAAGTCAAAACAAACGCTTGTACTTAGTAAGTAAACAATGTGGACAATGACCAGTTATGTCTTAGACTGACCTGATGAATACCTCTAAGGTGTGATCAACTGTGTTTGGGGGAACTCTTGAGAGTATTTGTTTCTAATTGCCACTTTGCCATAAACTGGCTACACAACCCTTCAATGTTCCTGTACCTCAGTTCCCTCTGTCAATTGAAGAAGCAGATGAGATCTTAATGTTTTCCTCAGAACACGAGTCCCAAAAATAACTATGAAAAGAGGAGGCCAGGCACAGTGGCTGAAGCCTGTAATCCTAACACTCTGGTAGGCTGAACCTGGAGGGTTGCTTGAGTCAGGAGTTGGAGACCAGCCTGAGCAAGAGCGAGACCTCAGTCTCTACAAAACATAGAAAACTTAGCTGAGTGTGATGGTCCACATCTGTGTTCCGAGCTACCCAGGAGGCTAAGGTAGGAGGATTGCTTGAGCCCGGGAGTTTGAGGTTACAGTGAGCTATGATGACCCCACTGCTCTCTAGCCAGGGCGACAGAGCAAGACTCTGTCTAAAAGAAAGAGAGAGAAAAAGAGGAAGAGAAAAGGGAGGGAGGGAGACAATTTAAATTTGGGAAGTTCTGCATACCTTTCTCAGAACTTTACAATTTACAGTCATCTGGGAGGTTTAACAACCTGCCTTTCATCCAGAGATGCATTTAACAGATTCATATTCCCTATAGTATATACTTTGAAACACCAAATTAGGTCTTTGATGTCTTTCTGGTTCTCAAAAAAAATTGATAAAAGATTGGATTAAATTTCAATTGATACTGTGTTTCAACTGGTGATTTTAGCATCATGTAATTTTTCTTATTTTTTTTTTTTTAGGTGGACGAAGATTTTCATTGTATTTAGGCATCCTGTTTTAATTTTCATTACTGAAAAAGTAAGTGATATCTTCAATTCCTAGCCCATTTTGTGAAATTTCAAAATCACTCATGTTATTTTTAAAACTAAAGTGTGTCTTTTGTCTTTCTCTTAGATTTTTAAATGTTTTTATCTTTTTTAGATATTAAAAAGTCTATTAGTCACTATTTATAATATTTTACACTTAATTGGACAAGAGGTTTTTAAATACTCATTTATGTAATTACAATGGGATAACAACGTCTAATTTTAATATTTAAATATAGGTGGTTGGGCCGGGCGCAGTGGCTCACGCCTGTAATCCTAGCACTCTGGGAGGTAGAGGTGAGCCGATCCTTTGAACTCAGGAGTTCGAGACCAGCCTGAGCAAGTGCCAGACCCCTGTCTCTACCAAAAATAGAAAAAATTAGCCAGGCGTGGTGGCGCCTGCCTGTAGTCTCACCTACCAGCAACCTCAAACTCCTGGGCTCAAGCAATCCTACTTCTTCAGCCTCCCAAGTGGCTGGGACTACAGGCATGTGCCACCATGCCTGGCTAAGTTTTTCTATATATATTAGTTGGCCAATTAATTTCTTTCTATTTATAGTAGAGACAGGGTCTCCCTCTTGCTCTGGCTGGTTGCAAACTCCTGACCTCAAGCAATCCGCCCGCCTCGGTCTCTCAGAGTGCTAGGATTACAGGCGTGAGCCACCGCGCTCGGCCACAGAAATGTTCTTTCTATATACAAACTTATCTTTCATTTTATTTTTTCTAACACAAATAAGATCATAGTATGTGAGCTAGTCTGCCATTTTTTTTTCACTCATGATGTTTTAGACATTTCCTAGACCAGTACACATACATCTACCTATTCCTTAACCAGTGCATACTATTTCATTTTACAGATGTATCTTAATTTATTTACTAGTGTTTTATCGATAGACATTTAAGCTATTTACAGTTTTTTACTATTGTAAACAAACCTTCAGTGAGTATCTTTATCTTTATATCCTTTATATCTTTATATATCTATATCTTTATATCCTTGCATATTTATGAGAGAACACCTGTTGGATAAATTTGCACAAGTGGAATTACTAGATAAAAAGGTGCATGTATTTTTAGCTTTCAGAATGCCAGATTACCTTCTGAAAAGTTGTGACAGCCACCACCACTACTGCCACCAAGATCTGAGGCCTTAGATTTCACATTCTTACTGACACTAGTTTTGTCAAAGTTTTGACTTTTTGCCAATCAGATAGGTAGCAAATGTTAACCTTATTTTAATTTGCATTTCTTTGTTAATGAGAGAGGTAAACCATCTTACCCATTTCTGTTTCTTTTTGTGAACCTGCCTGATCAAGTTGTTTGTCCATATTTTTATTACATTTGCTATCTTTTTCTTTTTGTCTTATAAAGAATTCTTTCTATATTAAGGAAATTAGCCTTTTTCTATTGTAAGTACTTCTTTCCTATAATTTGTCTTTTTACTCATTTTAGTATAATTTTTTGATATAGACAAGTTTTTCATATTTTTTTTTTTTTTTGAGACAGAGTCTCGCTTTGTTGCCCAGGCTAGAGTCAGTGCCGTGGCGTCAGCCTAGTTCACAGCAACCTCAAACTCCTGGGCTCAAGCAATCCTTCTGCCTCAGCCTCCTGAGTAGCTCGGACTACAGGCATGCGCCACCATGCCTGGCTAATTTTATATATTTATATTAGTTGGCTAATTAATTTCTTTCTATTTATAGTAGAGACGGGGTCTCGCTCTTGTTCAGGCTGGTTTCGAACTCCTGACCTCCAGCAATCCGCCCGCCTCAGCCTCCCAGAGTGCTAGGATTACAGGCGTGAGCCACCGTGCCCCGCCAAGTTTTTCATATTTATGCTATTAAAATGTATTAAGCTTTTCATTTATGGCTTCTTTACGGCTTAAGTCATGCTTAAGGCTCTTCTCTTAAAATTCTCAAAATAATCACCGTTTTCCCTTCGTACATCAGTGGTTTCATTTTGTGTCTTTAACTCTTTAGTACATATTATTTTGGTATAAGGAGTTCCATAGGGATCAGCTCTACCTCCAAAAATTGATGACCAGTTTCCTTAATGCTTTTTTTTTTCTTCTTATATTTTTTCTTTTTTTTATAGCTAGACATGTGATAGAACCATTGAATCCTTAATGCTTTTTCATGACAGTGATATTTGCATGTTAACCACACCATCTGAAGATATAAAACTGCATAGGAAACTTTTATAAATGTATAGTGATGATTTTTAGTTTATGGTAGCTTGTCTATAATATACAATACTCTATCCTTGTGGCACAGTGTATCTTGCAGAATAGAAAATGAACGGGTTCTCTTTTTGTAAGTGAAAATAATTATCAAAACACAATTTTGAAAAGACAAGTATTACTCTTCTTTGGATTAAATGTCACTTTGGCTTTACTATTACTGATTAACACTATGAAAAAGGTCTAATTATGCTTGTAAAATAACAAGTATAAAAGCCAGAAAAGAGCCTTTTTATAATTCTTAGAAATTCTTCTATCTCTAAACTAACTTGTTTAGATTTTTATAAAGACTTATTTTTCTTGTAACTGATGTAATTATAGACTTTATAAAATGAATTAAACTAAAGTTCAATTTAAAATCTTAACTTTCCCTATTTATCTTCAGATTATGAATTGGATATGCCTCCTGTTAGATGCTAATTTTACTGTTGTGGTAATGGTACCCAAAGCAAAAAGGCTACTGACAAACCTTTATAAGTTTGTCAAATCTTAGGTTTGTGATTGATATATACTGATTGTATTTGTACTCAAGTATATCACCTGAATTAAAGTTTATTCTTTTTTTTTTTTTTGAGACAGTCTTGCTTTGTTGCCCAGGCCAGAGTGAGTGCCATGGCATCAGCCTAGCTCACAGCAACCTCAAACTCCTGGGCTCAAGCAATCCTGCTGCCTCAGCCTCCTGAGTAGCTGGGACT